AAGGAGGCAGAGGAATAACTGAACATCTGACACAGAGAGCAGGAGAGAGGAGAGGAAGAGTTGGAAAAGATTCTAGGGAGGGAGAGAGAGAAGCCATAGCAATGCTAAGCTAGCGCTAGCCTAGGCTAGCTACCCTACTACCAGAAATAAAACCGTGTGAAAGTGACAAGTGCTCAGTAGAGAAGTGCAGCAGAAGGTGCTATGTTTTTAGTGCTTAGATAGACTTTAGATTACTTAGATACAGAGATATAAAAGAAAAAAAGAACCTAATTCAGATGGAGATAGCCTGAACAGTGGAACCATATTTTTCCTTGGCCTAATTCTGAGATAAAATCCTGTACCAGTCACTATGCTGTAATGTTTAAGGTAGGGTGGGACAGAAAGCAGATGCCTCCCTACTCTAGAGAAGGGTGAAGGGAATGCCATGAGAGATAAGAATGAGTTCACACAGCCTCCTTCATGCCGTGGACAGGAAGACCTGTTCTGAATGTTTATCTGGTCTAAAATGTATGTCCTTGATGAATTGAAGTGTTTTTTTTCTTGGGAATAACCAAATTTTATTGTCATGACAACACCTGTTGGATATTCATTGGCAATTATTTAAACCAATGAACATCCAACAGGTATTGTCATGACTCAGTAGAGAGTGACCCCTTTTCATCATTCTGCTTCATTCTATCTCTACTCTCCCATTCTGAAGTATTTGTAGTTCATTCTCTCACTCTGCTCTCTAATTTCTCTGCTTTTTCTCATAGTAGCTTCATCTGGTCTGTTCCTGTTTGGCTGTGACTCCATCCTGGAGAGAAATAACTCTGAAAACTCTGGTTTAACGGATTACTCCATCTCCATAGAACAAGGTAGGATCCAGCCAGTGGGCTGCCAACAAGATGTGCAGCATCTGAAGTGTCCCAGATGCTGCGGCCCCGGAGAACAAGCAGGAGTCCGAGCATGGTCAGGGATACACAACACGAACAGGCTGGTTCAGGGTTCCAGGAGTCCACAAATAGTTCAGGCTGAACATTTAGACAAAGACAGGCAGGCCCAGTGATTGTGAGGTAGAACAGATCAGGGTATCAGGAACACTACGGAAGGCTAATAAACACTCCCTCCATTGAGATCAGACAGGAAAAGGTGCATTCAGTGTATAAGAGGCAGATCAGGATCAGGAAATCAGAAACACTAAAAACCCTCTCTCCACTGGCCCTCGAGAACAAGTACTTGAAGAGAAGCAAAAGCAAATAATCTGGCCCAATGGCTGGGACTGAGCCATATAAATAAAAGCAGCAGTAGGTGGATTAGATGAGCTCTTGTTGGAATTTGGGTAGAGTTAGGCAGATGAATGAAATGACCAATTAGGCCAGCACTCATTGCCAAGATCATGACATGTATTGTCAGTAACTTGCACATTATTTTGGATAAATAGAAAATTCTAAATCGTTTTAACAAACACTTTGTTCAATCCAGCTGCTTATTGGAATGATTGTATTTAAGCCCAAAAAGCATCCACAAAGTCACTCATTGCAATTTGAGTGACTTTGAGTGACTGAGACCTTTAACTTAGGTGGATGAGTTAACAGGTCCTGAAAAGTTACAGTAGATTCTTATTTTCTTAAATTAGCTAATTTCATTACAAAACATTGCAAGTAATGTGGTTGTTTCTTTGTGTAAATCTTTATTTGTTCTTCCTTTGTTAAGGTAAGGGAGCCTTTTTAAGATCTTAAATTACATTATCAAGACTCTGGTCTGTAAAATGTTTGTTTTATTTCCCTCTTGAAGGCTTTTGATAGTGTCTGCTTAGAGACCGTATGACATTGGTCTTTCTACTGACGCTGTTGGTTGGTTCTCAGATTATTTTTCAGGGAGGATGCAATGTTAAATTTTGCTGGGTTGTCCTCTTCCTTTCTCCCTTTTAAAAAAGGGGTCCCTCAAGGATCTGTCCTCAGTCCACTGCTGTTCTAAATCTATATTAATTATCTCTGTCATAATGTGTCAAACTCCTCTTTTAATTTTTTAGGCAGAGGACCCAATCTTCTGCTGTTCTTCAACTGCCATTGAACAAGCATTTCCTTTTTCAGTCTCCTCCATTCTGCAGTACCAGTGTATGGTAAAAGTGTTACAATTTGTACAGATGGCAAAATAGATTTAAAAAAAAAATGTCAAGCTTAAAAAGTCTAAAAGTTTGCAATGTCCACATTTTATTTAATGCACATATGGGAAAAACACATGCTGAACAAAACAACGACAAATATTATATTTATAATAAAACTTTAGAATTTCATTCCAACTTAAATATTCTTCTCATAAAACAAAACAGTTCCTAGTTACAATGCATTTAACTATAAAATGCAAACAATGCAAAATAAAGACCTCAAACACTCTAGACCCAGAACTTCTCCTTAAAAAAGCTCTTGTTTGAGAAAAAATTATGGAGCTATTAATTTTACATTTAAAAGATTCTCAATAAAGTATTACTGACTTATTACTTATGCCCCAGAACAGTCTTGAAATTGAACATGCCTTATACCATTTTTACAACGTTGGGTTTTTCAGTGGTTTTGTGAAATGTAACTAAATATATTTGTTAATGTATCACTGAGCAGCATTATATTTAATGTTGTAGGCTACAGGACCTTCCATAGTGAATCCAAGATAGAAGGATATTTCTTCCCGGCTGCACCCACTGCGGATGTCTCCCAGATAAGCTGGACGAACAGGAATTTTTAGGTTTCCTCCGTAGCTAACATATACTTCTCCATTTTCAGAAATTCCTTTTTCCCTTAATAACTCTCGTTTAACCTCTGGTTCATTCCAAGTGGCTCCACTCTGCCAAAGCTGTTGCAGGGTGTGAGCTTGACCACTGCTGGACTCTTGTCTATTTAAAACATCAATCAATATTTGATCAAGCTTCACTTTAGAGACCATTCTTCTCAGTCCAGTGGATTTCCCAAGAAAGAAATGAGCTAAGGTTGTTCGGGCTGGAAACATGTATGAAAAGCGTCGATGAAATGATTTCTTGGCTGATGTGATGTATGTGCCGATATCCCTGTATTTTGAAGAGCTTTCCAGTTTTCTATCTTTCGTAGGCCACATGAGAAGCATGGATAGGTAGTACAGCTCTGTCGAATTTGAGTGTGTACCTTCTTTTTGTAGTTCTTCATCGAGAAGATCAACCAACTCTTCATATTTTTTCACTTCCTTAGAGGATGGCTTTATGCTGTACATCACTATGTTAGCTAAGATAAAGTTGACAGTGTCTGATACAGATCTTTTAGGTGAGCTGTTGAAAATATATTTCCATTTTATAAGGATGCGCTCCATCTCTGCACCACTTTTGTAACTCAAACACTGTAAAAGTCCAGCAAATGAGTCTGCTCGTTTTGCTTCCAGATAAAACCTATGGTCCTGTATCTCCTGGTTTAGACTAAGATTTGGGTTGCTGGCTTTCTCGGATGCTTTTTCTTGTTCTGAACTACTGAACATCTGCAGGTATTTTCTGAACTGCTCTGATAACTTCTTTTTGTGCCTTTCATCAGCCATTACCCTTTCCTGTGATTTAGGTCTCAGGTAAGTGAAGTAATTCTCGAAAAAGCTGAAAATCTCCTTCAGCCTTGGCTTCAAAGAGACCAAAAATCTCTCATGGTGGACCAGGACTTCCACAAACTGGGCAGTGGCAGTGTCCCCGGGGTCAAAATGTAAGCTTTTCATGGAATGGTGGCCTTTGAGAATCTGTAGCAGTTGGTCTCTTTGATGTTTGTCTCTACTCTGTGAAAGAGGAAGTTCTCTGATGAGGTCCAGAAGGATCATCATAACCTCTGTCTCTCCAACATAACCTGCTGTGTTGTAGGATTTTGGCTTCTTTCTGCTGTAAGGATCAAATGGGTCCACTAGTTCATCCTTCTTGGCAAGCTCCTGCGAATCTTGGAAAGCTTTTACAGCTTTAGAGCCCAGCTTCAAGCATTCATCAAGAACCTCAGCAGTGAGAGGCTTGGCTTCTTCAATCGCCTTCTTTAATTGGCTCTTGTAAACCTGTCCTACTGTGTCTGCAATGTAAGAATTAGAGTTTTTACTTCGTGCATCTAAAGCCCAATGTAAGGCACCAGAGAAGTCTCTTTCTTTGAGATAGTAATATCTTGCTAGTGCCTGTGGGAGTGTTGCACTTCTGTCAAACCTCTCTATAGCTTTCTCTAAAATTTCTTTGACTTTTTCTGATCCTTCATCTTCATCTATTTTTTCAATTAAAGGAGAAAACAGTGTATCTTTGTCATCCCCTTGTTCTTTTCTGTGCCGTGAAACAAGCATGCTTTGAATGTGCAGAAGTAAAAAATCCTTTCCCATGCAGGACATAAAGAGTTTGTCACAGTGTAAAATGTCGATAGTTATTTCAGCCATGGAAATATTGTGTTTTTGTTCAAGGAGCTGAAGGCAGTTACTGGCAATCATTGGGTGTAGGAATCTAACTGCTTGGTAGAAGCCATGCTCTTCAACAGTGAATGTTATCAGCAGTGTGGAATATGGATTCATTTTGTCCTCAAGAGTCTCACGTTTCCAGATGACATTCCTTAGACCAACTAACTCTTCACACAAAGAGAGTGACATATAGGATCCATTCACAAAGGTGTTGAACAAAGCCAGAAAGGAGAGGAGCCTGCCCTGCTGGGTGGTGGCATCAAGATCTTTAACAACATTGCTCACAATCTTTGCAATGTAATCCTCACTGAAATTATTTGTCATGATCATGAAAGAGTAAAAGGTTTCCGGCTTCTCATGGTCAGTTTTCAACTGCTGAAGTTTAGCAGAAAATAGCTTCTGCTCTTTGGAGGACAACTTGTTGGTTAAGAATATATTAGGAAAATTACTACTTCTTGAGCTGTCAGCAGGAAACTGAGTTCTCTCACAGTTCAGTATAATGACCATGAGAGTGTTCTGCTGCATTCTCTCACCAGCACAACTGAGGATACATTGCTTAAGGTCCTCAACATCCTCCCAGTTGTCCACCAAGAGGAGGACTGGTGTGTAGCCTGGCTGATCCTGCTTTCCATATATGAGCAGATTAATGACTTGAGTAGCAATGTCATTATTTCTTGCTCTGTTGTTTTTTACAACAGCACATCTGAATTTTCTCCTTAAGCTCCAAAGAACATGCATTGCGAGAGTTGTTCCTCCACATCCTGGGGCGTGGAAGAGGTTGATCATGACACATGGAGATGTGTAGCTGTCGACAGGTGTGATCAGGTTATACAACTCATCATATTTGTCTCGCTTGATGAATGGCAGACTGCCTCTCTGTTCAGAGAAGTAAAAGTTCCACCATCTTACTTGTCCTCCTCTATAAAAATCCTCTTCTGTTTTCTTATAAAACTCATCAAAGGAAGCTGTATTTTCAATATCTGTGTTTTCACATTCATTTTCACTCAAAATGTCCAACACTGTGAACAGTTCCTCATCTTTTATTGTCAGCAGCACTGAGCTTGAGCCCGTGGATGGGAGGTATCTCTGGGAAGGCTGTGTTTTGGGCTCTTTTAGTTTTTTTATTGTACTGGATATTTCATTCAGGCTCAGTTCATAGACACATTTATTGGAGACATCTTCCTTACAGCGTACGTCTATCAGACGCTTCCACTGACCGAATACCTCTGAGTCTCTACAAATGCACAGCATGTTGTCAGTTCCCTCCAGTGTATGATAGATTGCACAGAACGTCTCCAAAATAGGACTTGATATTTCAGTTACAGCTGAATGAAGAACAAAAATGACCAGCAGTTTGTCTCTAGAAATTACATCTGGGCTGCAGAGCAAACCAATCATGTTGCTGATCTCCCCTAAACGCCTCCTTAACCATTCACTGGGTGTTAGTGGCTTATCTTTTTCGCTCTCCTCATTCAGTCGTCCATTGCAGAAAATCCAACTTGTTTGCTTAAACAGGTTAAGCTTTCCAATAAGTGTAGGTAAGCTATCCTGACTGGTGTACAAATGTGGGTAGTGAAGATTGGCAATACGGTCTCTTCTGTAGGAAAGGCATGTTCCTCTTAAATCTGACTCTGGGTCAAACTCCAGCACAGCAAACAGAGATATTTCCTTCAGAAAATCCATGTGCTCCAGCTGGGCTGAATGACATTTGTCAGTAACTACAATAACCTGAAGGGAACTCTCAAGAAAATCTCTTCCACGTGTTACTAGCTGCTTCAGCCTCTGTCCCTGGTGGCTTTGGGGGGAATGTTTTGCTCTGTTTTCCTCTGCCATCTTGCGGGCTGACACCAAGTTGTTGACATTTTCAGCAAACTTTTTCAGTTTTTCTTGACCAATTCTTGGATTAGTATCTGCTAATATGTTGACTGACTGGGGGCCCTGTCTAATAAACAGACATTGAGTTTTGCACTGATGTCTATCCTTTGTTGATGTAATACCCAGAGAAGTGTAGAAAATAAAATCTTGTGTCTGTGAAGATTCTGGGACTACATCAACCTCTATCACAAATCTGTCTGAAGCTGTCCCATTTTGATGGTGAACTGGTATAAAGTTTGGTGGTCTGATACACAATCGAGCAACATTCACATGCTGTTCTTCAAAAAAAGCCTTCAGAGATAATTCAAATGCCTCATTGAACTTATTGACAGAGGTTATCCTATGGCCAACTACTTGCCCATGTTCTATCTCTGGTTGTCTTTTGACCCCAAAATGTATTGTTCCGTTGGTTCGTGAATTCATACAGCTGGCAGCAAAACTAAACACTTCCCTTGTAAATTCATACAGGATCTCTCTTTCACTTGTTTCATTCACATTTGGCAGGAGGCAGTACTCATGAACTGGGTCAATGAGATTACTTGGACCTGCCATTGGTGGAAGAATGTCATCTTCTACATAGAAGATTATGGAGTTTTTTTTATCAAAGGGCCGACTCTGACTTATTGCCTTAGGTGGTTGTAGATCTTCTAAGTTGTTTTTAAATTGAGTTTCAATAAAACATTGTTTTGCAGTTGTATTCTGATCCATTATAGACCGTATGTTTTCTCTCGCCTTTTGTAACATTTGTATGGAAGAACTTACACTTTGGATTCCTGAATCTGATGACACCGTCTCATATTCTGCTGATTCATATATGTTTCCTGATGTTGCTGCACTGGCCCTTACACGGCGCTCACTCTGTGCTGCTGTAGTAGCTGGTAAATATGTCTCTGATTGGTTCCTAAAATTCTTGACCTGCCTTAAGATTTGTAAAGCCTGTGCTGGTGGTACACCTAACTCTAACAAGTCTTCCTTCTCAAAACAGTCCAGGCAAGCTCCTGTTAGCTCTTGGTCATAAAGCCTTAGTGCAAGTTCTTTTGATACTCTCAGTTTGGTAACCAGCCAGTCTTTAACTTGGTCCTTAGTCCAGTCTTTAATCAGTGGTGGGTGTGTAAAGTTGTATTCCTCCTAAGGAAGATAAAATACAAACAATTACTTTAGGATGCTTTACATAGACTTTTCTGAACATAAATTTTTGTTATAGAAAGAACACCTACTGTTTTTGTTTTCAGCCCGCCACCAGGGAGACGGCTTGGAGATGGATTTACATTACTGTAAACAGATTGTATATTAACCGTTATTAAAAAACACCAAGTGCATTTGGTTAATCTACACATTTCCACACAGTTTGGAATGGCAAACAGCAGCTTTTATAACAACCCCTTATGAAAAAAATGCACAATGATTTTGACACAAAGGGCAGGCTAATAACACTCCACTACACGAGGAAGCATACAACTTTATGAAAGCTTCTTGTTGTGCCAGCTTACCAGAAGATTATGAATATATTAAATAACTAGACCTGGAAGTTAGTTAATTAATAGGTTTTTCAAATCAAGGATAACGCTAGTTATTTAATATCAGTTGAAAGATTAGAACTGTAAATTGCTTACTGACCAGGGTTTTTGCCCCTTTCCTAAAAGGGTTAGACTCCTGAATCCAGCTGTTAAAAATCCAGTTGTCTTCCACCAATTTAATAATTTAGGCTATGGCTCTTAGCAAAGTTATTAATCACCAACCATATAAATGTGTCTCTGTTCATTCAGATGCTACTGAAAGAAGAGTGAATCCAACCTGAGTGATAAATCGTTCACTGTGTAAAATACGCAGTGAACACAAAAGACCACGGGTTAAAAATACAATGGTACCTTTATTATCTAAAATCACACAGTATTACATCTAATAGCTAAGCAAAACTAAACACTACTGAAAATAAGCAAAATTTAAGCAATAAAAGGGCAAGAGGGCTTCAAGAGTCCGTTCAAAGTCCGGGTGATGTTCAAAGACTTACTGCATTTAAAAGTGTCCTTAGTAATAGCAGCAGATAAAATGTAAATAAACCGTAACGCAGAGATGTTAACTGCAGTCAAAACAGTGAAGTTTCTTTCAGTTACTGGTGAAAAATGAATAATGACTCAGGAATACATTAAAGTAGGCTGAAAGACCTGTTAGCTTAGCTGCTACAAGGAGAGAGTTAGCTCACGATTTAGCAGTTAGCTTCAGCAGACATCCCAAGTTCCAAAAACACATTTCAGGGAGATGGTTATTCAACCATTTACTTTTTCTTTTTTCCCCTTGTGGTCCACTAATGAGCTTAAAAATCATGGCAAAACATGAACATTTCCAGCATATTTTTTTTTACATTATATTAACATTAACAAACTAAATGGAACAAAAAAACTACAAACAATCAATGACAATGTGAGCAAATAATGGTAATTATTGTTATTTTTTTAAAACAAATAACATTTCCCTGCACACACACAGGTGCTTGCCTGCTCACAGAAAGAGTGGATCATCGTCATGTTGGTCAAGGCTCTCTATGGCAGGTTCAGCAACTGAAGGAGCTGACTACAGTGTGATCAACCTGCGCCGTCAACCCCGCATCCGTGCGGTTCACTTGCAGTCTGGACAATGAGGGTAAACATGCTGTGGCTCTGACTGCAGCGCTGAGAGGGACTCCTGCGGAAGCAGGAGAACGGGGTTGGGACGCGGGAGGCGCCCCATGGCAGACACCAGAAAAGTCGCTAGATTTGTCGCTAGTCGCTTTTTTGAAAAAGTCGCTGGAGGGGTCTGAAAAGTCGCTAAATATAACAACAAAGTCGCTTAGTTGGCAACACTGCCTTGAACATCAGATGTGCTTTCTGTTTTTCATGGGACTTCAGCATACAGTGCACCTCGCCAAGGTGTCATCATTCCTCACCATGGCCAGGTCTAGACATACAGTAGGCCAACGGGAGCCAGTTCCCTGTAGATTATGTCCTGGCCCCTGTTATGGCCCCTGTACTGAAGACATAATACTTAAAAGATATTCTAATGATGATATGCACTGGAACAGACATGTTTACTGATAGGACCTTTGTATCTATTTCATTCTTTTTCTTTACAAATTCTGTTTTACTAATTATTCGAAAACAATAAGGTGATAGCTTCAATGGGATTGAGATAGGATGCTAGTTTTCATCTGCTAAATGTTTTTTTTTTTCACAGCAAATAAAAAAATGCTCTAATTTTTACAGCTGAATTTAACAGTTTTTCTTGAGTTCTAAACCAAATTTTATAGAAACGATAGTTTTAACTTAAATTAAGTCAAAAATATGTACAATTCTCTAAATTATAAATGTATATTGACCTCATAAGAAACTGAATTTTTATTGAACCTAATTGAAAAGAAATGTCACTTCATGCAGCTCCCTTAATATATTTGAATCCCTCGTCCTGTTTTTTATTTCATGCTTTTCTGGGCCCCCATGAAAACATGCTGCACCCCACCTTGCCCCCTGGTACATTTGGTCTAGATCCGCCACTGTTCCTCCCCTTCACTAGACGTGGATATACTTTAGTATATTCTGCTGTAAAGTTAGTCCTATATTTTCATTTTTTACTCGAGGATTAAACCTCTGCCGTTTCCCAGGATGCACAGCTTTGAGTGGGAACTAGGTGACTGCCAGCGAGTAACCAGAGAAACTTATCGGACTGATCCAATCAGCTCTCTGACAACCAGCCGCCTGGAACGCTTGTTGATCAGAGCATCGCTTTGGACAGATACACTGCACAGGTTTCACCAGCAACCTCCTCCCCACACCCCGCGCTCTCTTGTTGTCTGCACAATCGCAGTAGTTCTAATCCGCACATGGTGCATCAATAATTATACTGCTTGCACACTCTTGCTCGCATTAAAAAACACCACCTTGCTTATTTCAAATAAAATCACCAACTATCTATTCTACCTATAGTGAACCCAAGCAGAGCACTCATTAAGCATCAGATGGAAAGGAGGGGGGGACGCAATTTCTGTTTTTGGTTCAGTGGATTGAAGGCCTTCGGCTTGGTCCAGTTTCTTGCAGGCCCAAATTTTTTTAATATTAATATTAAGTTAATTTTATAACTCACGGTACATGGGATGTCTCCCATTTATCTACGGTGATTAGCATGTAGCCGCAGCCTCTAGCAGCACTTCCGTGGTGCTGCTCCATCCCTCCGTCTCATAGACAGTCACGGTCCGGCGGCTTCTAATATCTCCTTCGGCAAACAGCAATTGGGACCCCCGTTGTTTGGAGGTTAGCAGAGCTGGAAAGGCTCTTCTCTGTCTCTGCTGCAGCAGGATTCAGGATACTCTGCGTTCACTCTGTTTGAATCGCAGGAAGAGTTAAAACACTGTGTTTAGCTCTATCTGAATTGCATAAAAAAGGCAGTCTAAATTGGTCCAGCAAACACAGACTTCTCCGGAGGGATTTAGTTACTACGTAGCGTAGCCTTCAGCTGGAAGCACTTTTGTCTAGTCTTCCTATTTTGCCGAGCCACCAGCAAAATAGGACGCTTATGTGGGAAGCTAGTGTTTTTCAAACCTACTCCGGAGGGATGTGTCTTCAGAGCGGCATACTTCCGGTGTCCTTCTGGGACAATGTATCGCAACACTCGTCATGCGGTTCGATAGTGACAGTAGTTTTTTACCTGGAGTTTTTACAGGTTTAGCACCCCTAGTGGCTAAAAGTTACACAGTGTTTCCTTTAAGTTTTTGATGGTATTCAACAAACTGCCATTGTTGTGTGATAACGCCTGTTGTGCAATAAATTTGATCAGATTATGAATAAATTAAATAAGTAGAACTACATAAATAACCACAACAGAGAACGGGTTAAAAAACTGGTAATTTTACTAGCTAAGTATCCCTCTTACAGTATTATTGTATCTAATAACTACACAAACACAACATACTACTTAAATGTAGTGTGAGGAGGAAAAGGTGAAGGAAAAGCTAATAAAAAGGGGAATAGGGGGTCTAAGAGTCTGTCGAAAGTCTCTGAGGAATGGTGAAGTTTTAAGGCTTTGTACATTTTATGTTTCAGCATTTTAAGTAGCAGCAAATAAATACGAATAACACTGATGCAGAAACCTGATATGCAATCAAAGCAGTGAGGCTTCATTCAGTTTTACAGTTAAAATTGAACAATTACTCAGGAAAGCATTAAAATAGTAGCCTGGGTGCCATTCCGAACTTAGTCCCGCCCACAAAGTTTGAGGTCGGGAAGTTCGGTCTGGCTCTGCTCCATAGTAGCGCGAGTATGATCGCCCACCCTCTGGCGATCCAATCAAATTGTCAGGGCGGGCTTTATACGATGATGGACAGATGACGTAATCAACCACGTGACCAAAGCGCGCATTGGGTGACAACAATAATGGCTGCCGCTGGAGATGAGTAGAGTCTGTTAGAGTCTATTAGGTCTGTTCTAGAAGATATCGACAGCAAATTAATTTTAA